TCACCTTTTTCCAGCTCCTCCCACAATGTCATGGAGGACACATTGCCTACTGCACCAATGTCCAATCCAATGCTTCTCATACAGGAGAAGCAAGTGTTGTGCACGCAGTAAAATGTTCCAATTGGAAAGCATTGAATCAATGCTTTCCTATGGGACTCCTGCATTACGTGACCGAGTTTTACTCAGTCGGTGCAACGGAAGCACCTCGAGAGACTCTTATACTGACAGCCACTAGAGGTGAACTTAACCCAGCAATTTAAACATTGCCGTTTCTCAAAAACACAGGCCCACTGCACTCAGACCACTTCATCTTAATGGTCTCGGTGACAACAGTGTTACTTTAAGTAAAACTACTTTAATTTGTTGTTTAAAAGGTAAGAAAAAAAACAACTATATATCGAATGGTCTATTTAAAAAAGGATGCACACTGATACATACTCACTCTCACTGACACACACAATCACCACTGTTAGATGCACTCATCTAAACCCACAATGATGCATACAATCAATGACACAAACACTGACGTGCACTCACTGCCACAAACACACAGGCACTCACTGACACACATGCACTGAGCAAGCACTCACTAACATGCACACGCACTGCCACAAGCACTCACTCCAACAAATGGCACAATCATTCACTAACACACATCGACACAAGAACTCACTGCCACAGGCATTCACTGTCACACACTGGCACAATCATTCACTAACACACATTGACACAAGAACTCACTGACACACACACACTGAGGAAGCACTCACTTACACACACTGGCACAGATCATAGTGTTGCACATTATGACAGACACAGACACTGGCATACAACAGTTTACAAATGCTTATATCCACTATGTGGTTTACAGAGACATTAGTTTGGCAGATCCTATAGGATTGTAATGGTTGGAGCCTGGCAGCACTGACATAGATGGGGCACTAACAGAGAGTTAATAGATATATCAGGTCATAGAGTACTGACCTGCAGCAGCCAATAGCTCCATCCTCAGCCATGCTCTCAGACAGGATTAGCTGATCTGCAGGGTCTCACACAGCAGTAGGGGAAGGAAGGCTGTGAGGTGCTGGCACTCCTTCGAGGGGAATCTAAAGGCAGCACAGAGGCCGTGAAAGAGGCCAGTGCTGTAAAATGCAGGCAAGGGACTGGCAGCCAAGGAAAGGATGAAGGGGGGGATGGAGATACATGCTTAGTGGATGAGTAAGCAGAGGAGCTGTCAGATTGGAGAGTGAGTGTCTGCTCCCTTACTTACCCCTCCTCCTTAGCTCTGCAGCCACTCACAGCAATCTTTAAACTGACTGCCTTTTATCAGGAGCTGGGAGTTCACGGAAGCCAGGAATGTCCGTGATCTGTGTGCTGCTTCAGCCTGGTTACTCCCCCACGGCTCTCCTCTATATTAATCTCCTGAGGGAAGCAGGGGTAGGATTAGCAAACCCTAGTGTACAAGCATGTGCGAGCTGTGTTGGCTGCCTGGTGCCCCTGTTGCCATGGAGCCCTATGCGGTCGCACAGCTCGCACACCCCAAAGGCCGGCCATGGCTCCATAAGATGTGAGTTGGCATTTTTATATCTCAGTGTTGTCCATAGTGCACATTACCTGCCATTTGGCACTATTGGTTCCTCATGTTTTCTGGGTTTTTTTTATACGCTGACATTGGTTGGGATTGGCTCAAGGACTTCTTTCAAAATATTTTAAGATTATCTGCTTTCTAGGACTATTTTAAACCCCTTTGTATTCCATTTGGACTGTTTTTATGTTATTGTTTTATTTATTTATATATTTCTTATGTGGTTTATCCTTTATTAGTACCTCTTTCATTTATATATCTACTAGCTATGAGTATCCTGTTTTATATTTCTTGGCATAACCTGTACCCCCTGTTTTGTTTCGCAAATTATTTAAGGGTTAGAGGGATACCCTTACCTTCAGGAGTGCTGCGTCCCAAACGTCCATTAGGCTAGTTGTTCAGCGCTGTTCCATCCTTTGCTTTCTTTGTAGTCATTACATTTTATCTGCCTAGTTTCATGTCAGCTGGAAACGCTGACACGTGACTTTCAAAGATCATTTATAACTAGATTGAATAGAAGTCGCTCCAGAACTGACCCATGAAGGATATCATTTACCACTTTTTTACAGCTTGAATATTACCCATTATGACAAATCTATGCAGTGGTGAAGTTTTTTGATAGTGGGGTGCAAGGCTCCACCCCTGTAATTTGATCTCACCACTCTTCATAAACTTTGGCCCTAATCTGTTGGATTTTGTCCTCTAAAAGGAATAATATAACAGTTTTGGTGTCTCACTTTTCAATTCTCTGCTCCAATTCTCTTTTGCAGTTTAATCACTTCTGTTTCTGTTTAAGCAGTCCTAAACACACCTCCACTGGCTGTGACTACCACAGCTATCATAAAAGAAAAAATTGTTCCAAATTTTACTGTCCCTACTCAGAATGCTTCTTCTCCCATATCACCCATTGTATAGCGCTACGGAATTTGCTGGCGCTATATAAATAATAAAATAATAATAATGATAATATCAACTCCCTTTATTACAAACGCATTAATATTCCTGGTGCCAGATCCTTTTTCACAGTGCCACCATCTTGTAATACGGACAGTGACATAAAGTCATTGCTCTTTTCTGCCCATGCTCTTTGTGCATCATTACTAGACAGTAACAAGGCATTCTTGGCACAACTTGTACCCCCTGTTTTGTTTCGCAGATAAAATTTAATGTAATAAAATGCAAACTTATTCACTTTGGGGTGAAGAATTCACAAGCCACATACATCCTAAATGGTAGTGAATTAGGAATAAAAACACATGAGAAGGATTTGGAAATTGTTATAGATAATAAACTAGGAAACAATGTGCAATGTCAATAAGCAGTTGCTAAGACCACTAAGGTATTGGCATGCATAAAAAGGGGCATTCCTTCTCAGGATAAAAGTTTAATTTTGCCTCTTTAGAAACCAATGGAATAGTAAGACTTCATCTTGATTATGCTGTGCAATTTTGTCCACCTGTTCTAAAGAGGGATAAAACAGCACTAGAAAAAGTGCAAAGCAGGCTATACATTTAATAAGGGGAATGGAGGATTTTATTTATGAACAAAGGCTGACAAAATGACATCTGACATTTGTTTAGAAAATGGTGCTTCAGATGGATTATGATAAAATTATACAAATATATTCTGGGCATTATTTAGTCGAATGCAAAGTAAAGGGTTCTTTAAAGTGAGGACAACAAGATGTGGAATTCTCTGTCTAAAGGTTTTTTTTAAATAGCAGCTGGGTGAATTCTTATAAAAACATAATATTTAGTGATATAATATTTAATATGTAAATTAACAGTTTCTTGGTTCAAGGATAGACTTTAGTTCCATTCTTGGGTTTAGAAGGATTTTTGTTTCCTACTTTGTTGCAAAATTGGAAAGTTCATCAAACAGAGTTTTTGTCTTCTTTGGGATAAACAGAAACAACCAATGTGAAAAAGGCTTAATTTGATGGATGCAAGTCTTTTTCACCCAATGTAGCTATGTAATATCAAATAAAGTATTTTTCTGATGAAAATAGATTCCACCAGAAGAGGTCACTAGCTACTATTGACTTACCAA